TTGTGTAGAACTCTCTAGATTCTCTCTGTGTCTTCTGGTTTCCTTCATGTTCATTGTACTTCTCTCTTGAACTTTTGGTTCAAGGGAATCTGGTGTAATCATAGAGTCTTAAGTGATTCTTAGTGTGAAGGAAAGTTTTGATACCTATGTGGTGTTATTTTTGGTCCATTGAAGTAGTAGCAAATCATACTTTGAGGGTTAAAGTTTGAGGTTTTACATTTGTACATAAGAGTACAAAGTTCTAAGCTTTAGATCATCGAGATCTTTGATGCCAATGTTCGATTTCTTGTTCTAATAATAGTATTAGAGCCGTCTATGGTTGTTGGTGTTCCTTCTTGATTGAGATCGCATTTTTGGTTTTTTGGTTCGAAACCTTAGATTTGTTTGACAATAGATCCATAATCCTAGTTGGAATTTCGTGTTTGAAATCAAAGTAATATTGTTTTCTTTGGTGATTTACAAGCCTTGGATCTTGAAAGATAACTTCCTATTTGAGGTATTCTTCGACTAATCTGCTATATCTCAGAGGTTCTTGGGATTGGTGGTCAAAACGAAGGACCATCACTCTGTTTTGATGACATACTATTCTCCCTAAAAGTTATAATGTCTAGAAATTGTTCTTATTTGATTTTTGTGTGAATATTAGTGCTAGATTGATAACTGCTCATTTAAGTACCGTATGTGTAGTTATATACATGTCTGCATCGGTTATCTAGGCCATTGAACATTCATTCATCTTAGTTCCCTAGCTTTATTCCTTGTCCTATTGTCTTTCAAATTGTGCCTTGACATGGAGAATTGATCTTCATGGAATTCTGGTGAGTTTGAACACTCAAGACTTGACGTGCATCATATTACTTATTTCTTTGTCATTAATCGTAGTTCTTGGTGTTCTTTTATTGTTTTTGAAATAAATTGAAAACGTGTTTATTGGTATGATCCCTTTGTGCTAACAAACCTCCTTTTTTTTTTTCTCTCTCTCTCTCTCTCTCTTTTTTGGTTGGTGGGACATCCAATTCTTCTGTTGAACACTGAACTTTCAAAACCATTTTTCTCGT